CTGAATGCTTTAGTGCCTTCCTGTGTTTTATGCGAAAACTCCTAAATCTCTGTTTAAGGTTCATGTAGAAGCTAGAGTGAAGACACAAGGCAAGAAACACATGTACTAATAATGAGACCTGTTTTCCTTTTTAAAAATACAAACATCAAATATTACCCTGCTATATGTCTGTGGAGACAGCAGCATCCAAACAAAGCTCCGTTTTCAGTGTGAGTAGAGCAGGTTGCTGCTACAAGGCAGCTACAGGTACTTGCATTAGATGATCCACTCACTAGAAAGTACTAATTTTGCCTTAATTAAAGAAAAATGCTTGAGTCCTCATAGTGATATATGAGAAGTATGATTACTTTTAAAGTACAAATAAATCAGGACTGCCTCTGCAAATGATTTGTATTCTCCTCCTTTGTATTGGCAGATTTTTTACAAATGTTATTCTAGAAGTACCCATTTTTCCTCCTATTAATTTGATGTTTTAAAATATAAGTATGTGAAGGTTTTAAGACTGAATATTAAAGAATGAAATGCTATTTCACATTTTCTCACCTGGAGTTCATACATGCACAACATAGATTGTTGACAATGTTTTTGCCTACTGAAATAATTAACAAAATCATTTTTCACAAGAAACTTCTGACATACTTACTGAGCCCCTGATTATGCCACCATCTGTGTATGGTGTTTTATTTTCCAGCTGAATACTACTGAACTCATCATAATGAATGTGCATTATGGGGAATGGGAACAAAATCAACATGTCCATTGTAAATCATTAAAAGTTATATGTTGGACTGCTTATTAGAGTATATGAAGGCTGTAAAAAGTGAGACAGAACATCTTGACCTTTTAAAATAGTTTGGGGTCTGCAGTATAAACAAATAATTGTATTTTGATGCATATGTCTGTATTTGGTTGATAAAAGAACTGAAAATAATACTTTTGATGATGGTATTTTTAAATATATATATTTTTTCTTCTGGCTCATGATATATTTTTATTTAAATGCTAATTGTGCTAACCTAGAATTCAGTATGGCAAAAATCTTATACTTTATTCACACTGGCTACAGTCCTCATATGTGGATATGAGAACATTTAATTATACTTACATTGACTGCTGTCATTAAATATGGTGACAGATACTTATACTCTTCTGTGACCAGGCAAATAATTCTTGAACAGTTTATAAACTGCACCCTCCTTGGGTTTGGGCTTGCAGTATTTAATTAATCAAATCCTTATTAACTTACCTCAACAGGAGTATGGTCTCAGTTAAGAGTATGCAGCCTGAGCTCATTCTTTTGCTGAGCATCTGTTTAACCTTAAAATAATATTCCAATTATTTCCTGAGGAAACCAATGAGTAGCTAAATTAATCCATATGTCACATTGACTCTTAATAAATTAGTGCACAAAATACTAACAGAAAATGGTTAAAGAAAGGAACCTTTTTTTAATAAAGCACAGAAAAAGTAGAATTTAGAAGAAAAAAATAAGCAATGAAGGAAGTTAAAACATGTTTTCTCTGAAATAAACCCTGCTGATTTCAGCACAACTTGCTCCCTTGTAAAGGCCAAACTGTACATTGCACGCAAATATATATATAACAATAGTCTGGTGGGCTGTCCTTTATGAGAAACCACATGGGGGGAGGGGTTAGCTGGGCAGAAAAATGGAGGAGGAGGCATGAGATAATGCTTAACTCCTGCCTTCTGCTTTTGCTCTCTTAAAAACTTCATAAAGCTACAATCCTATGCATACATTTGAGTTCGTATGCCTAGGATGTGCTATAAGAAGTTTTTCATTAAAAGATTACAGCTGCTATGCTACCATTACATCAATTTGTGTGCAATGTGTAGTTTCTTAAAATCCAGCTTTAGTACACTGTAAACATACAAACATGGAAGTGGTCAAAAGACTAACATGCAAATGTATTTAGGATTGGGGCCTTAATAAACATAAAAGACCAAATTTGTCCCTCTGTAATTCTATTGACTTCACTGGACTTAATTGCAGAACAACTTAATTTGCCCTTCTGAGCCATTTTTTCTTCTACTTGAAGGAAATCTCACTTATTTATGGCTAATAAGGCAGATTTCAATGGGGGATGGGTTATAATCTATTTCTACTTGATGCTCCTACCATCAAATATTTTAATATTGTTCAAATTTATTATAACATCAAGATTGCTATACCTGTTTAAGTTGTTTAACAGAATTTATAAACGTCCATGTCATTCAGATATATGTAGGATATTTCCATAGACAAAACATCTGCCATTGGAAATGTCATGAGATACAAACATGACCTAAATATGAGGGAAAAGTCCTGTGAGGTTGATTGTATCACAGTAATGGAAAAAATAAGGGACATTTCCACTGATGCGAAAATGGCTTTAGCCATTACATTGGAATACAATGTTAATTGTAATTTCATGATAAACTGAATCCATATTGTTGTTAATAAAATGATTTTAAAAAACTATCATGTCTGTATACTTTCAACTAGAAGAAATGTTTGTGCCTTACATTGTAAAAGTTCATACTATGTCTATGTCATCCACTCCTGGATAACCATGCAGAGCTAAAAATGCAACAGTAAGAGATATGTACCACTTTCCTTCCTGATAGCCAATATCTGAATGTCTTCCTTGGTCAAAGAATTCTCTCATGTTTTCCTTTATATTCAGAAATATATATCTGTTATATTTTATGTCAGCTCTGCTGTCAGAGCAATATTACTATTTGCTTAAGGTTTTGCAAACCTGTAAGCACCAAACCCTTTTCTGGTGCTCTACGCTCTATCTTCATGAAGGATCCTGAAGTCATTTGCCAAGCTGGTAGGTAGAACTAGAGTGAAGCCCATCAGATTCACCCTCTCACATGTTAACACATTACATTCCCATGCACTATACATGTATGAGCATACTAATTTGCCTAGATATTCTTTAGAAAGAATTATATACATCAAAACAACTAGGGTATTTGCCTAATTGTACTGTTTCACTAAACATTTTCTAACAAAACCTTAATGCTTCTCAGTATTAAGAAGTTCTTAAAGCCCTGATTACATCCAGAATTTTAGATATTGGAAACCATTACTGGAACTCTTTAATGAACATTATTCCATTTTTAAACAGAAGAATCGTGCTAGATCTATGGTTGAGTTTTCATCATGACTCCTCCTTGATCAAAGATTTCAAGAGCAAACAAGCATGTATTGAAACAATGTTAGGGAACCAATAAAAGTAACTGAGATTTAGGCAACATGATTGTAGCCTTTAGCTACAAACTATGCACTCATCTGGGAGTAAGCTCCACAGAATACAGGGGCATTTATTGCAGAAAAAATGTGTATGAGATTGCACAAATTATTAAAACAAAATCTAAAGTTTTAAAAATACTTACTTCTGCAAAGTTTCCTTCCATGTTTGCTTGCCTAGCATTTTAAGTACAATTAATTCTGTTACAAACAATAATTCATACAAACTCCCTCTGTATGAATAGGAAACCTCAGTCTCAAGATTATATGTGGCACTCATTCAGCTACCAGCAAGCTTTTTTTGGCACTTATTTCTATTCGGAAATAAGAGATATTGAAAGCAGTTAATCTTTAAATGCTTTCAGAGAACAGATCTATTGCAAGGATTTTGAGCTGTGCATTTTGAAGGCAGTAAAGCTGTGACATGGAACTGAACTGTGAATTTGCAGGTAGGTAGGTCACTTGCATTTAGGTAGATATGCAGAAGTGTCCAATTTGGTTCTGAACAAGTTCAAAATGGTGATCCTATTTGGTCCTACCCACCCTGCCTGTGGATCCAATATTTCTCCCATTTTTAAGTTGGTCCCACATGCTAGAAAATGTTTTTAACCCTTGTCCTATGCCATGAGTGCACAGTTGCTTGTGGATTTGAGAAAGGAGGACCTTTGATAGCACAGGAATTAATCTTATCCACATATCTGCCTTGTCTGAAATAAACATTCTAAAGGAGCTTGAGGCTCAACTGATTGATGCATTTACTGTAGCCTTCCATGCTGTTGCACCTATTTTGATGTCCAGATGAAGCAGCACTCACATATGGCTGGTCTGGGGTGGTCAGCGACCCACGGGTTTGTTATGTGCCACTGTCTCCAACTTATGGTGACCCTATGAATGAAAGCCCTCCAAAGTGTCCTGCCCATGACAGTGCCATTCAGCTCTTGCAAGTTGAAGGCTGTGGCTTCCTTTATGGATTCAATCCAACTCATATTTAGTCTTCCCTTTAGTGTTCTACTTTCGACTTCGCCTAACATTGTCTTCTGCCTACTCATGATGTGTCCGAAGAATAACAGCTTCAGTTTTGTCATTTTTGCTTCTAGGAAAAACTTATTTAAGGGCGGGTTGTTAATTTCGTAAGAACGGGGTCATGTTAATCTGCTTCACTGAGAGGTCTTGAGGATTAAGGAGCGGAGCGGAGCTGAAGGAAACGAAGAAGTGAGGGGTACTCACACGCACATGATGCAACTTAGACGCCAAATTTAACACTTGTTTGGGTGACGAACTAAATGTACTTCCAACTAAACCTAGCTAGGTATGGGGTTGCCATTTCTCTTTATCCGCCCGCACGTGGCATGGGTAACTAGTTTACCTCCCATCGCCACAACGTTGTTGTTGTTTCTAATGTGCACAAACGTCATCACGGTATTTTTTTTTTTAATACATCAAGAAATTGCACCAACCGCAAGCGGGGCGAAAAGGCTTGCCTTACAGAGAAAGTAATGGTAAGACGCCGAGGCACCACCTAACCAAAAAGTAACAGCAACTCCATTTCGGAAGGGTAGCACCGCATTATAATTCTAAGCTCTTTACACCACCAGCCAATCAGCTCTCGGAAACGTGGGCGGCTCCCGCCAATCAGAGCGAAAGCCGGAATCGGGCGGTTTAGAGTGGCACGCGCACGGATAACTGGCGGTTATTCGCGCGAGTGGAGCGGGTGGTGTGGCATGGTTGCTTACTGCCTCTCGGCATGTCTGACTGGGAGGCGGACAGCGACGAGGATGAATGCCGCGGGAAGCTCAAGGAGCCCTCCCTGGACGACTGGCGCCCGGCGACGGCTCTTCTTAAGCGGCCTGCTGGGAACCGACCCGCGGGCGGCGGGGAAAAATGGGGTTCGCGGCTGGCGCCTGGCGGCGAGCCCTGGCAGTCAGGGCCCTTGGAGTATCGAGCCCGAGTCCGAGGAGACAGGGAGCGCGCGGGGTTTCCGCCGCTCTGCTTCCACCTGGATAACGCGCTCGTTGGCACGCTCATAGGTAGCGGCCGCTGCCCGCGTGCTTTATCTTGTTACAGGAAGGAAGGAAGGAATTTCGGGTTCCCCTCAGCAGTAACCGCGGGGGCCCCCTTGGCTCACTGGCAGTGGAGGATGTAATATGAGGACCAGTCTTGAGTGTGTCTACTTGAGTGTGTGTCACTGAGTTTTATGAGACATATTCAGTAGCAAATGTACTTAGAACTGTCTCCGTCACCGAAAGAGCTGTGGCAGTAGGCTGCAGTGTAAATTAATCGTAGACATGAAAAAATGTCTACCGTTATAATGTCCTATAATCTCGCAGGGCTGTTGGAGTGGCATGCTGAGTGATGGATTCTACAGAAGTGTAGAATCTTGTGCTGTATGCTCATGAATGTATCGCTTTTCTGTCAGAACGCACAAGGAGGGTGGTTGTGCAGTCTTGGGCATACTTACTCAGAAGTTAGCTCCAATAAATTATCTGGGACTTACTTTCAAGTAAGTGCAGAAAGGATTACTTTAAACTGATTATAAAATACAAAAAGAGAAAAGACAGGAGGAAGATGCAGCTGTGACAGACAACCTTAGTATTAAAGTGACCAAGAGTTGCCTGTAGTGACTGTATAGAATGTATATGAAATGTGTGCGTATTGGAAAAAATGGAATACTACAGATTTATCTGTATGTGCCTTACGCTGTGACTGAGGGAAGAAGCTGTGTATGTTTCACAACAATGTGATGTGCGTTTAGTATTTGTACAATCAGACCTTGCTTTAAACAGTTTTTGGATTTGATATCAAAACGTCAATTTCTGTCTATTTAGCATTGGTAAACCCAACAACAGCTCTGAATATTTCATATGAAGAGCAATCCAGATAGAACCAACATTTGGAATCAGTTCTGTTTACTCAGATACAGATTTCAAAGGAAGCTTATGCTACTTTTAGCTGGTTTGCTTCAGCTTGGAACATTTTGAGCAAAGAAATAATTTTATTTATTCAATTTACATGCCACCCCACTAGCCATAGGCTCTCTGGGTGGCTTACAACATACTGTATAATCTATGTAAGCAAAAGTATGTACACAGTTATATGAAAGTTGCATAAGTGGCTTGTTTATAAAAAGCTTGTGTGAGCAGAGTGGTCAATCTTATCTAGACTTCTTTGTCATGTTTACAACAAAACATTCTCAGAATATTTAAAATTTTACACTCTTTTCCTATAGCTCCAGTATTTGTCCTTATTTCTGTTCTTGATTTTTTAAAGAAAAGGTTTGCATTCTTTAATTGAAGAATCTGAAGCCACTTGGCTTAATTTGGGATTTGGGCAAGTTTTCCATTTAAATTTACTTTTACAACAGGTCGTGGTGGCACTAAAATAAAAGAACTTGAGGAATCCTCAGGTTGTAAAATAAAGGTGAGGTGTTCATTTTAATCTTCCTTTTAAAAAATCTTCCAGAATTGCCAGTTAACATATTACCATGTTTCCCCGAAAATAAGACTGGGTCATATATTAATTTTTGCTCCAAAAGACACACTAGGACTTATTTTCAGGTGATGTTTTATTTTTTCATGTACAACAATCTGCATTTATTCATTTATTCATGTACAAAAATCTACATTTATACAAATACAGTCATCATCTTCTGGAACATTGTCATAACTCTCCAAACCCCAAATTGTGTTGCAACAGATGTACTAAATGTGTCTGTCTGGCTGATGATCTTAACTGGGGCTTATTATGGGGGTAGGGCTTATGTTATGAGCATCCTGAAAAATCATGCTCGGGCTTATTTTCTGGTTAGGTCTTATTTTCGGGGAAACAGAGTACAAGTAGCCTCTATAAGAACAAACTATTTTCTGCATTTAGTATTATGGATGTGTGGAAAACTCCAAAGGGTGCAGTGCTTGGAGACTTACAAGAATCTGCTATGAAGTGAGGGAAGCAGCAGAGGTGATCTCTACTTGCCTGTTCTGTAAAGCTGATATACCAGTCCAGTCAGGGAGGGAGGAGGCTAGAGTACCACCAGGATATTTTGTAACCAGGTGGCTGCAGCCTTGTTCCTGCCTCACAACTCTTGGTTTATGCCTTCTCTGAGATAAGTTTCCTGTCCTCAGAGAAGCAGATGGTGCAGCTTTCTGTGCTGGGAGTGAGGGGGACAGGAGGGTGACCCCAGCATAGAGCCCCCACATCTGAGGTCAAAACTGTGTTACCAACCTTGGACTGGGAATCCAGTGACACCTTTGTCCCCTAGACACTATCCAGTGGCTGTAGAATTACTTTGAGCCATCAGTCCTATACAAACTCATTCAGAAAAAAATCCTGTTGAACACAATGGGGCTTCTGGGTACATATTAATAGGATTGCACTACTTAGAAGGAGAAAGGAACTTACAATGTGTAATATATATCCCAAGACATTTTTCTAAAATAGCTATTTCAGAACTCAGTATTTGTAATTTAATACAGTAGTACCTCATACGTCAAACGACTCTAACGTCGAATGATCCAGAGTTTGAATGTTAAAAGTTGAGATAAAATTGCTGTGAAGTTCAAACAATACTTCTACATTCAGACTGCATGTGCAGTGAAAAAAATGGGGTCACAGCATAAACATCATCTGTTGTGTTCCCAAGTCGTCTCTCTCTGTGAAACATCTCTTGTGTAATGCTCATGCGTTTTCAGAGCTTTTTTGGGCTTAATTTTTTGTTATATATATAAAACCACTCCTCACTAAGGTAGAGTTAAATGCACTAACATAACATTACTAACATAGATTTTAGTACAGTGGTGCCTTGTACTTCAAACTTAATTTGTTTCAGAAGGCTGCATTTGCTGTTTATCGAAATGGGTATTATTTAGGGTCTGGGAACAGATTAATTCACTTTCTATTATTTCTAATGGGGAAAATTGATTCAGACGTCAAACAATTCAAATGGCCTCCTGAAACAAATTTGAAGTATGAGGCACCACTGTATTTTGTTGGTGTAGCTTTTTATAAGCATAATCCTCATCTCTCGGGCTGGGCCAGCAAATGCCCATGAACTAGTTTCTAAAGAAAAGCCACTGCAATTGCTGAAACACAAATAATATAGTGCTCTGCATATATCAGAATTTTATCTAGACTGCAGTTCTCTGCCCATTTAGGACATGCTGAAGTCATTGTGACTGTGAGTAGTAATTTATAAGATTGCACAGCTGGCATGTTAGATAGGATCCAAGGGTTGTAACCCATGATAGCCTTACTTAAACTACACCTCTTGAAATGACTGGAATTTAGAAGATGTGTCTAACTAAAGTCCTATGAGTTGAATGACTCTTTTCATTAATGAAGTATGATGAAATCTAGATCCAGTATATTTAGTACAGTGGTATCTCGGCTCACGAACTTGATCCGTTCCATGACTCTGGTCGTGACCCAAATTGGTTGCGACCCAAGTCAAATTCCCCCATAAGGTTCAATGTAAATAACGGAGGCAAAATTCGTCTGAAATTTCTGTTCACGATCCAGTTTGGTTGTGAACTGAGGCATTTGTGAGCTGAGGTGCCACTGTATTAGTTTATCTGTCATATTTGTATTAATAAACCAAATTCTAAAAGTATTTCATGTTAATGTAAAATGCTGTATAAATATTTCAATTTTTCTCAAAAGTCAAATGCTCTTAAACAGGAAAAAAATCAAAGCACTGTTAAGGGTACAGTTCTGTGTCTGCGAATACATTTTTAAAAATCATATAATTTCTAGCATAAGCCAGGCAGCTATGCTGGAAGTTGTACTACTTTTTTCTTTTTTCTTCCTAACATGTACAGGAATGCAGCTAGATGAGGTTTAAATGGCACAGTCAAATGAAATAACAGCTTTCTGGAGGGAATGTACATACATATATGTGTGTGTGTGATTAGAAAGCAGAATTCCACAGTTCCTAATTCTTAGTGCTGTGCATACCCAGTGCAAGGATAGTCTATTCTTGTTTTTTGCTGAATGCATGGAGGCCAATAGCTGCAATTCTACTCCAGGCTACACATTAATAGAATGTGTGGATGGGGCATGAAAAAAGGCATATAATTACCCGGGGGGGGGGGGGGAGATCTGATCTTGAAGCACCTAATTTACTTACATTCTTTCCATTTTCTATGATACTAAATAATTTTATGAAACAATAGGCAGTATTCCATATGATGATGCACTTTCATTGTTTTTTTGTTTTTGTTTTTTGTTCCAGTGGCACTCACCACTAGAATTACGAGAAGCTAGCACTTCCTAAAGCAGCTCCAAAACATTTGTTTGCTGAATGGAGCAAATAAAGTGCTCCTTTTTGTGAGCTCTGCTGACCTATCTTTTCCAGTAATTAGTGCTTGTACTCCTTTCAGTTTCTAAGTGGATCAGCTAGCTTCCTGTGGTAGTAACAGTGAGCATTAGATATTGCCCAGTGCATTTTTTAGATGTAGAGAATTTTGTATCCACATCATTGCTGCTGGGTCTTAGTTATCTGAGAGATTTAGAAAATTCTTGTACTTAGCAAAGTTATGCAAGGACACAGAAAGAAGAGTTTGAGGAGGAGAGTTAAAGTATTTCCCTTTTTTATTCATGTGCTAAATTAAAACCTTATATTTAGGTTGTAAAGGGAAACTATGAAGCTGAAATAAAGATACTTGGTGACAGGGATAAGCAAACAAAAGCCAAAACATTGATTGATGATCTTGTTGAAAGGTATAGTCAAAGCACAGCAGGAGAAAGACACATTAAAGGTAAGAGTCTAAATATTAGTAAAGTCTTCTTCAGATTAAACCTGCTTGTTTTAAATCAATATTTTAGTCACTCTGCTGCTAAGGCATTTATGAACTACAGGAGGTATATGGAATAAGACTGAAGTCAGGAATTTATGGAGCAGCATGTTAAAAAATAAGAACACCCAGGGTCTTGGTTGGAATTCTTTGTCTTTAGATAGCTATATAATGAAATTGTTTTGTGGCTCCGATTATTCTTTTAAATTTCATATTGATCTGGTATTAAAGTGTTTTAGCAAATTGAAACATTTTGTTTTAACAGGTTCCTTTAAACAACAAGGTGTTGGAACAAATTGCTACAGTGAGACTAGTTCTGGAGCTTTGAAATCTGGATACAGTAATACAAAGCAGCCTATTAATTGGGCCTACCTTCGAGAAAACAAAGCTAAATATGAAGCTATTAAGTGGGCTGGTTAGTATAACAGATTTTTAATGGACTTGTACATTGTGAATGATCAAAATCACCTGGTTTCTTAAAGAATTGTTTTAAGTTGTATTGAAAGCATGCATTCACCTACAGATTTACAAAATTTATTAGAACTGCCAAGTCCATAGTTATTATGTAAAATAGAAAGCATAAAAGTTCTGGTGCAAAGGCAGTTGTGTCAATGCATTTGTATTGCATGAGTGATATTTTTCATTAACATGAGCTTTCCTGAGGTAGGAAGAGAGATGACATGGAATCCTGTAAGGAGCAGTCATACTTCATGGATCAACTTAAGACCATCACTATAAAACATGAATACTTATCCTACAGGCCACACACAGATGCACAAGTCACAGTTCTATACATGAAAACATCCACAGAGATCTGTGAGAGAGAAATATATGAAATAACCTAATGTGTCCACACATGAATTGCGAATGATGCATTCAAAATTCTTTGTTGTACATAAGATTTTAAAAAATCTTAGGTATGAAATTTTAAAAAAATCTTAGGTATGAAATTGGAGAGAAGTAACATAGGATATATAAGACTGTCCCTCACCTAAATTGCATTTTCAGTGTTGGTAAAATTTTGAGATTAAAATCAAGCTTTAGCACAAACCATTGTGTGATATCAAATTTTATATTTATGTTTGTGGAATTTTTGTTTTTGTTCTTTGATTTAGTGAGTCTATTCAGCTCAAAAGCTGAACATGAAAAAATGAATTTCTTAATTCACACTTTAATTTTAAAAATACCATCAAAATTAATTTAAAATGATACATGGAATATTGATGGTACTGTTTTGTGAGATCAAATGTTTATATTTGGTGTATTTTCATATATGTGTATCTGCAACAATTCCTTGGAAGCCTTTCTTGAACTGTGTTGGTGCTTCACACAGTAAAACAATGTGCTTGGCAATTGTAAGAATGCCAAAAAGCTGTTTATTGCTTCTCCAATTTTAAATAATAATATTACAAACTCAATTTTCCTTTTAATTTTACCAGATTTACCTCCAATTGAAAAACATTTTTATAAAGAATCACCAAAGATTGCTTCTATGTCACAAGAAGTAGCTGATAGGTGGAGGTAAGATTGGGATTTGGAAATGTGTTCAGTATACTGGAATGTTCTATTGTTTTTGAATGGATTGTAATACAGTGCAATAGTATGAAAGTATCTTTTATAATGGGATGTGGTGATGTCTACAAAATCTTAAATATGACTGTAAAGTCTGTTGAAATGTTTACCAGAGCGACAATATGAACCCTGCGCACTTCTCACAAGATGTGTTCTGTGTTCCATGTGTTGGATTGTCTTGCATCCATTACACTGAGTCCTCATTCCTGCTAGGTGTAAGGATTTATAAGACTATTGTGTAGCACATCGGTCCTCAAACTATGGCCCGCGGGCCGAATCCGGCCTGCCATGCCCAATTATCTGGCCCTCCTCAGAGGTTTTGGACTCCCCGTGCCAGCTGCTGCCGGCTGCCTTGCCACGTGTGTGCCCGCCTTGCTCACTTGGAGATCGTTCTGGACACGCTCAGAGATGTTTGAGTGAGCGAGCCACCACCTCGCCGTGCGTGCCCGCCGCCACCTTACTGGCCCATGCCCATGGGCACCCCTGCCTCACCAGCCCGCGCCTGCCACCACCTCCTTTCAACTGGCCCCCTGTTGAAAAAGTTTGAGCACCCCTGGTGTAGCATGTAACAGACAGAGATGCATGTCTGTGGTCATAGAACACTTTCAAGAGAATTTTTATGAATTTGGTTTCACTTAGAGCCATTCCTTAGAAGTACCCAAAAAGGTTTTAAGTAAATGAGACATAGGATGGGTTTGCATAACATTTTTGTTCTCTAAGAATATTACCTGTGCACTGTGGGTAAAATTCTGCTGTGTCTGAAGGACATTTAGGCACAGTCAGGATATGTTCCCATTCCCTCTCTTTTCTGTTTCATCTTCCTACAGTATGCCATGGGGTATTATAGGAGCACTGAGGAGATCAGAATGACAGTAGCAAGTAGTTGGCACAGAAACATAGAAACAGAACAAGTCAGAAGGGGCCTCCCAGGCCATCTAGTTTGACCCCTGGCTCCAGTTGGCTCCACTCATGAAATGCCTACCATATGTGTGTCCAGCACATACCTTGAACACCTTCGTCACTGGGGCTTCAACCACCTCCCATGGAAGCCCATTCCATACCCTGCAGGTGCTGTCAGGAAGTACTTCCTGGCATCCAAATTGAACCTTGGTTTCCTGAGCTTTGCTCCATTGGAATGCGTCCTGCCCTCCTTCACAGGGAAAAACAGATCTCTACCCACCTCTGTGTGACATGCCCCCCCATGTACCTCTATGTCACCAACAGATCATTTTGATAAGAGTCATCTGCTTTCCTGCCCTGCAATCCTGCCAATGCTGGCAGAGCAAAATTCCTTGTGAGAGGTTGTGCTCTCCTTGTATGAGCAGGAGTGCCATGTAGGGAACCCAGAGTGGGATGCAAGAAGAGGCACACTTTAACACTGGGCACAGAAACCTAGAGCAAGGCTATCCACTGCTCAGCTGTAGCTATCTGTGACCCTTCCTAGCTCATCAGATGTATGCATTTGAACATCAGACAAGGAGGTGCTTAGGTCTCCTTGGGAGGAGTCTGGGCCAACTGTTCCACCTTGGAGAGCAGGGGGAACATGGCTAGGGGAGCTCAGGTGTTGTGCTTCCCTTTCTCACACCCACACCTACCACCATCACAATGGAATTGGGTGGGCTCCTTCCCAAGTCCCATCTGGAGCTTGGAAAGGTGATAGAGGCAGGTTCTGCTGCTTGTCCCATAAGCCTCCTCAGAAAGGAGACCATCACATTTGACAGGTAACAGGGATACCTCCTCCCAGTTTCCCACTTTTCCTACTGGGGAAAAGGGCTAAGAGGGCCAAGGATGCCCAACTATTGTGCTTGCCTTCTCCTTGGGGAAAGCAAGTAGCACGCTTTCTTTCTCCCCAATGCTGCAGGGCAGTGGCAGGTAGAAGCCAGCTGTTTGGCCTCACTTCCTCATAAAGAAAGCAAGATTGAGAAATGGTTCTTCTGCTACATACTGGCTGGGTCCGTCTGACTCCTAACACCTTTTGTGTGTGATTTTTCAGTTTTCTTGTGTTAGAACGAACCCAAAGCTGCAAAAGTAAACACATCAATTTTTTACTAGATCTATGTGACATACCACATGACAATTTAAAACTCATTATGAGTAAAAAAATACTTAGAACATGGACTTGCAGAAAGTTGAATAAAACATACGATTCGTTTAGCATTGTTGGGACACATTTTTAAAATTATTTTTTTCATGTCTGTATTACCCATAGTATTTCATCCCAGCTATTAATGGAAAGTTAAAAATCATATCCTTTCTGACAGTTCTAAATTTGTGTATCATATGAACATGAAAGACAGTTATACTTCCTAATCTTATTCTTCTAGCATGGGCTTACTATGAAGCTGATCGCAAAATGGAAATTGCATAGTCCTTTTTCTGTTGTTTCTGCTTCTCTAGAATGAATAGGTAAACTATTTTCTTATTGATAACATTATCTCTTGATCTTTTTAAAGAAAAGAAAACAATAATATCACATGTAATGACCTGAAAGATGGGGAAAAGAGGTGTATTCCTAATCCAATCTGTGAATTTGAAGATGCTTTTAGGCATTATCCTGACATCATGGTGAATATAAGGAAAGTTGGGTTTCAGAACCCTACCCCAATTCAGGTATCTTTGCTTTATTTCAGGATACTGTGGAAACTGTTCTGTTTAAATTTCAGTCTATTCATATTATTTACCACTTATTTTAGTCACAGGCTTGGCCAATTATACTTCAAGGATTTGATCTCATTGGAATAGCACAGACTGGTACTGGAAAGACGTTGGCTTATTTAATGCCTGGATTCATTCATTTGGATTTACAGCCAGTGTAAGAACTAGATGAGTTGATAAGAACTTGGATTTTATGTGTGGTGGGTGGTTCTTACTGCATCTGTTAAAATTAGGTAAGAAACCCAGAAAACCAGATTTAATAATCTTTGTCACAAGAGACATGAAAGATGTAAGAGGACAATATGGTTTGTCTATTGCCTCTTGGGACTTTTGAAAACTTAATGTTGAACATAATGTAGTAAGGTCTTCTGCTAGTATATTCTTTTTAATAGTGTTGAAATATGCAGCTAAGTTTTTTATATAAGTTTTTTATTATAAATAATATGAATGACACAAGTCAGTCTGAACATTATTCCAGATATTGACATAATAAAATGTCCGGTTCCTGGCTGTAACCATTCTCCAGAATTCTGGTACACATATTGTACTTTGCTTCCCAATTCTAGTTCAAATCACTGCATAGCAAAACTGGGAAAGAATTATCCCTCTGATTTATTTGGAGTCTGCATCATGTTCGAGTTTTTTAATCCTCCAATTTCCTGTTTTGGCTTTTAAATTATTTATTTATTTATTTATTTATTATATTTATATCCTGCCCTTTTTCCTTCCATGGAACCCAGGGCAGCCTACCACCATGCTTTTTCAAAAGTGTAATATTTGCCCATAATACTTTTGGGTCTGTGTAAGATTAGTGATTCCCTGTGAACAACCTGCAGGTTGTATCTAGTCTCTAGATTATTTTATGCAGTTCTGTCCTTCCTGAAGTGCCCTAGCAAGCTTGCCTTTTTTCTCACAATTGACCTCAAAGCACCTGGGCATTGTAAATCATGCACATCCATTCTGCACACCCAATCTAGATAGTCATGAATCTATGTTATTTGGTTTGAATTGCCATAGTACAGCAGCAGCAACTAATAAATACCATACTTCAGTTTACTAAGCAGTTAGTGTTTTCAGGATTTCTTTGGGTATTAAATATGCTTAGGTATGCAGCCTTTATGTAATTCTCGCCCAATATTGAATGATGTTTCCAGTTTTCTTTTTTAGTCAATTGATGCATTGTGTTGTCTGTTCTTCTTTCATAACTTCATGTAAATAACAGTTAATTTTTTTGCAGACCTAGAGAAAAACGTGGTGGACCAGGTATGCTCGTTCTTACTCCCACTAGAGAATTGGCTCTTCAGGTTGAGGCAGAGTGCTCAAAATATTCTTATAAAGGAATTAAAAGGTAATAATTGTATTATCCAGCTATATTTACTTTGTTCATCCAAATCTTTGTGGAGTACTTCACTTACTGAAAAGGTTAAGCTTTGGATGGATTTTTTCTATTGCACAGTCTTATTGCTGATTGATTACTACTAAATATCTGGAAATTTCTGATAGTATGCTAGGTAGTATATGGATTACAGAAGATACAACTTTTTCTGTCCCAAGAGCTTATAATTCTTTGCCACTGCCTTCTAGCTTGCTTATGCTCAATATTAAAACTTGTATTCTTACACCTGATTAAAGATACTCATTTCTATATCCAAAGCTATATAGGGAAAATGTTTACATTACATTAGGTAACAAAATAGAGATATTTAGCCAGGCTTTTCAGCAAGGCTTTTTTCAATGGCTTTTGAATTTCTGTTCTCTTCACCCAATGAGAAAAAATAAATTCTGCCAAGTTTTTATGGAATGTTGTGTAAAGTACTGAAATGCACACTGACAGCCAGTGTGGTGTAGTGGTTAAGAGCATGGGACTGGGACTCAGGCAGTCTGGGTTCTAGTCCCCACTCGGCCATGGAGCCAACTGGGTGACTTTGGGCCAGTCGCAGAATCTCAGCCCAACCTACCTCACAGGGTTGTTGTGGGGATAAGATGGAGGAGGAGAATGACGTAAGCTGCCTTGAGCCCTTTGTAGGAAAAAGGCAGGATATAAATCGGAAAAAAAAAATGTATTGCTACAGATTTAACTTAAAACACTAAATATTGGACACTTTTTAGCATTTGCATATACGGTGGTGGAGATCGAAAAGGGCAAATCAACGTGGTTACCAAAGGTGTGGACATCGTTATTGCTACTCCTGGTAGATTGAATGATCTTCAAATGAACAACTTCATAAATCTGAGGAGCATAACATACTTGGCAAGTAGTCAAAATGTATTGGGCTGGAAGTTACTAAAGTACAAGTGAGACTAACAGAAGGTGGCAGTGTGGAGTCTTGTTCACAGATGAAACTTTTCTTCCAGTTTTGCCCATTTTATTCTTCTGTCCTTGTTCTTTTACCCCCTTCAGCAGTTACCCAGCATTCCATAGCCAGTGGGCATCCTCAGTCCTTATTGGAATGTTCAGAGGGACAAGGTGGAAAGTTTGTTTTTCTAATATACATCCTGTTCCACAATTAGGATTGTCTGAGTTAAGAGTAACCCCTACTTAAGAACAAGCAAACCCAGAAGTCCCACCTCATCCTGAAGCAGCAAGTGGGTGCCCACAGGTGCTGAGTGGCAAGTGGGTGCTCATGGGCATTGAGCAGCTGGCAGTGAGGAGAGGAAGGAAGGAGGAAGGAAGAGAATAATAGGAAGGGAAGGAAGGAGGGAAAGGGAACGAGGAGGCAAAGAGCATCAAAGTCAGAACTAGAAAATGATTTTAGTGGTACACTCACCCCCAGCAGCACAATCAGACCCTGACTCTCCTGCACCAGGCCCATCTTCATCATCAACTAGTTAATGTTAGGCTTAATGTTACCTCAAGCAATAATATTTTTTAATAATCTTTTACCTATTTTTTCCTATCTAGACTGTTTTTAGAACTGTACTGTATACCTGCACATACATACAGATTTTCTCTCTCTCCAGTTCTTGTAGTTACTTTATTATTATTGTATTACCATCGCTAAAAGTCTGTATTGTGTTTAAGATGCTTTAGTATATATGGGAGTGTTTCTTAAGTGTTTTGTTTGCTTTTTAAATATGTGATTCATCTTACATACAAATTTGATGTAAAGACAATCTCAGGAACGGAATGTATTTTTAACCCAGGGACCACGTGTAGATAGTGATATTTCCTCTACATAAAATCTAGCAGCTCAATTCTTTGAGACCATGATTAGTATATACGTACAAGTGGTACTACCAAGAAAATGTTATAACATGTAGTATCCCATTGAGTATTCCAGTGAATCAGCCATACCTTCATGTAAATGCAACTGCTTACCTTGAGATTGGTCTTAGTATAGAGGAAATGCTATAAGCATTTCAGGATAAATTTACATTGTTTGAAGACATCATTTATTATTAATTTAAATCTGGCCTCGATTCCATTCCCAACTCTAAAAGTGAAAAAATTGCCAGCAGAATCCCTAAAGTTAGGATAACTTAAATATAAATTCCACACTTGGTCATTTACCTTTAGTAGGACCAACCAAATACTAGGACAGTCATGGTCCTGCGGTAGACCCATGTTTTACATTTAAAAGGTCCCAGGTTCAAGCTCTAGCATCTCCAGGGAGGGCTAGGGAAAGGCCTGCCTGAAATTCTGGAAAAAAGCTAACAATCAGAGTCAACTGTGCTGGGCTTGATTAGCCAATGAACTCACTCAGTATAAGGCAGCTTCTTATATCCGTATGCTGCAAAAGAGTTGATAAACTTTTGAGTTCTCCATAACTTAACTAGGTTACATGGAACAAAAATCAAGGGTGGCAAAAAAAAAAAAATAGAAAAGTTAAAGAAATTTAAAACAAACACTAGATGTTGTGACTGTGGGGTTTGAAATGTAGATGGAGGGTACAGATTGAATGGAAGATGCTACAGGTATCAAATTGCAACTGTGAAATTCTGAAAAATATATCAGGTATTCATGGTGAAGGAGTGTTGTCATAGCTGGCCATTCTTCCAGCTGCAAGTTTCTGCTTCACCTCTGTGTTTGGCAGATAGAATCTATATGTGAATGTCTTCTATGTTAAATACATGCATATACATCCAATAGTTAGGATTCAAGTCAGCTACACCTAAGCAGGTTGATTATGTGAAATATGAATGACATGATTTAGCCTATACATTGATTTTTGTTACATAGGCATATGCAAACAAGATACCTATTGGCAGCTGGCAGTCCTGGGGGGGGTGCGAATGGAGTGGGGTCTACTGGTTATCCAGTATGTTATAACTGGTAACTCATAAAAATCAGTTTGGTAGGCTATAACAGTGGAATGGATAGGTACTGTTTTTAAGTTACTACTGCTACAAGGCAATGAAGAGTGATGGCAAGCATGGATAGCACTGATACTAAGGATTCAAAGAGAATAAGGGTGAATAATTCTGGGCTCTCTTAGGAGGAAGGGCAGTATGTGATAGATGGCATTCCTTTGGCGAACAAACACTATTGGGTACAGACAAATAATATATGTGTAAAATATGTATACATGTGAAATAGAAGTAATATTTAAAATGAGATTCTGATCTGGAATTTTAGAAAACAAGTAATTTATAAAAATGGAGTCAAGAGTGTTTAATCACTTTTTTTCACAGGTATTGGATGAAGCTGATAGAATGCTGGATATGGGATTTGAGCCTCAAATAATGAAGATTTTATTAGACATACGTCCTGACAGACAAACAGTTATGACTAGGTAAGTATGGTTTAAAATGGCAATAGATATATTAGATAAAAATATTTTATTTACTATCTATCGCTTTGGGTAGAAAGTAAATTAGTAACTGCCGTTATATAAATAGTTGCCAGAATATGAGAACTTCCATTTCTCCAGTAAAGGTGGAATTCTTGACTGAACGCACACAGGCTGTAGCACTGCAGTAATCTTTAAGCTACACAAACAATTTAATGTATGAAGGATAGTAAAATTTGGCAAGTGGTTGGGATGCTACTATCAGGGAAGTATTATCCTTTTAGTAAATGGCATTTGAAAATAAAACATATATAAATTATGTCTAATTGTAATTTTCATTATGTTACAGAAAATACCTGTTTTTTTATATTATCTTTGAGCTAGTAAAGAGGTTGGGGTGTGCTTTTTATCTGAAAAGAGATAACTATTGCAGAATATTATTTCTAGGAAAAATGTGCCAGTTATAAATTGTGGTGCAGTACATTTGTTTATTTCTCAGCTTTATTAATTGATTAATGAAAGATTTGGAATTGGCAAGGTATTTGACTGCGGCTAATACTGTTATTCATCCTCAGCACTAACACTGGTCTGTTGAATGACAGGTTTCCATTTACTCAGATGAACATGATACCTCATGTTGGAAACACCAAATGTTCAAAATTTTATTAAATCCTCATAAGTTCTGCTTTAATGTTGTAAATACCTCATTGCTAACCTTTTAAATCTAATATGGGGTATTGACGTTGAAACAGCCTAAACAGCCTTTCAACTCCTCAATGAAAATCTCAGAATTTCAACAGTTCTAGACTATATACATTGGAAAGTTGCTTCTGGTCTCATTGAAGATTGTCTGTGTATTTATTGTGCTTATACATCATTTTCTCTGTTAGGAATTCAGAGGGCAATATTTGTGACTGGGGAAAATACCTCATTTTTGTTGAGGGGCAGGGTCAGCCTTTTGATCATCAGGAAGATGGACTCATCATTCTCAAAAACTAACCCTATCTTATAAAACTAGGAAGGATTGTTTCATTCTACCTCCAATCTGTCTTTCCTTCTCTTCGTTTGATTGTTTACATTTTTTCTCAGCATGTCCTACTATTTTCTACTATCCCAGTCAGGAGAGACTGATTAAAGGTACAACTTCTAAAGAGAGCTTAACACTGTGTAGCAAAGTTCCTTCCCCGTTCTATCCTCTCCAGGTCTCCAGTTCTTATGCAACCTAAGTTGGGATGACTGATGCTCAAAGAGTCTGTGTTTGCTCCGCCTTTGCTCATCAGGAGACAAACTGTGGACAGGGGTTAAGAAATGCTTACTTGTGGTAAGCCAGGTAGGCATCAACAGATACAACATGCAGGTTCCTGTCTCCCCCATCTCCTTTTCAGTCGCTGGAAACTATGGGAAGAAATAATAGAAGACCTGGCAGTCATCTGACAGGTGGCATGATGCTTAGTCCAGTGTTCCTGAAGAAGCATATTCTGCTTGTACTCTAGTGTATGAGGCAGCAGATCCATGACTCAGGACCTGGGGTATATGAGTCAGACTGAAGAGTCCAGCTTCCCCTGCCTTCTCAGGAGTAGCAGGCAAAACCAGCATTATTATTATGATTATAATAATGATTATAATAGTCAAGGACTGGAATTGTTCAATAGCTCTGAAACTGTTCATTTGCAGTGGTCAAATCTAATTAGGAGAAACACTGATGCTGCTGTGAATTGCTATTCTTCATCTGGCTCAGTAATGTCAGATTATTATCTTTCCAGAGTTGTCAGATTACTTACTATAAGAGCCTTGATCCCCAAGTCATGCAGATTGAGACAGGGCACTGATTTCCAGTGTAGCAGTGCAACAGAATTTACTATTCAAAAGTTGGCCTTTTCACAATTAAATGCCTTTGTTTCAGCTATTTACTGTCTGGCAACTATATACTTTATCTGATTTGTGTAGCAGAAAGCAATTTGGTAGACTCTTACAAGTATTGTCAAGCCTTTATCCATTAGGTAAGGGGAAACAGGATGTCTTGTCTTTGGGCTTTTCTCTGGGAAAGGACATTGAAGTGACAGATTTAAGCTAATCAAGTTCATTTAGGATAGCAAAACCTCCTAACATAGCCCTTCCAACAAATGTGCGAGTTCTGGTGTTGTCTGGCTCGGCCAAGGAACGGTCTTCAAGAAGGTGTCATTATCTCTTTGGAGAGTACTAAAATTATGGTTCCTATAGTTTGAGAACCGTTTACAAATGTACTGGATAAAACAGGCCACATCTCTGCATCAAAGGTAATGGAACAGCTCCAAAGCTTCAAAGTCATCCTTGGACTTATAACACCTTGGCTGATTCAGATAAATGTAAGAAATAGGGCGAGTCAGTGGTGACCCTCCCATGAATACTGAAGCAATTGTTGGGACCAAAACAGTCTAGCTCTCAAGATGAGCATGTGTAAGGATTAACACTAATTTCTCTAATCAGCCCAATGCTGAAGATTCCCCAGAAATTCCAATTTTGTTAGTGCTGCTTCTACTCTTGTGGAACAGCCATGGAATGATACATTATTGACCATACTTACATGGAAGGATTCACAAGACTGCCCATATTCAGTTGGTACCAACCCTATGGCTTTGTTTCAGTACCATTCTGGACAAGTCTATTGAATATTACAGGCAGTATTTCACTGTTTATTTTGTTGCTTGTCCTCAGACAAGCATTAAGCATGAGTATGATGACCTCAAGTCTTTCTGAACATTCCAGTCTTGGTCCTGCTCATGCACTGCCTTCTAGGTTTCTTGAAAGTACTATATTTCTGGTGATGATAGTTGGCACTACAGTTACCACTGTTACTGCCTGTAATCATCATTGTCAAAGCAGGTGTTGTTGCCACAGTATGTGGGGATTGCTATCAGTCTTTTTGATGCTTCTTTGATTGATCACATTTTCTGCTCCAGTGGCACTTAACACTGTGGTGCCTGATCCACTGCTGAGGTTTCTCATTGTGTGAACAGTGACATTTTAAGCTATAGCAATCTTCCCTTTAGTCACTTTAAAGCCTTTTTCATCAGCACTATCAGTCATGCTGCCTCTGGTTCTGAACTAATCTTCAACCCAGCAAAAACCACCGGAAGCCAGAATTGAAGCTTTTGCCACCAAATCAGCAACCACATATATCTCTGCTGTCTCAGTGCTACCTTCTGGATAGAAGAGCCTTAATCTCCATCTTCCTTAGTTTTTTTTTTATCCAAAATGTTTGAGACAAAATCTTTGTTTTGAGGATACCAGATTCAGCAATGAACATGTCTTGTAAATGGCTAAATCTTTGGATTTTGACATGCCATGCTCTGTTGTCTCTATTGAGGGCCCTACTTTGAATCTACCTGTATCATTACCTCAGTACCAGTGCCATTCTCAAATTATCAGCTCTTACTTAGTTATTAAAATATTATCAGACAAAATACTTCTACAAATAATATAGAAAAAGATCAAGTCAAAATAAAGACTGAAAGCTATTTTCAAAGTACACTATTTAGTTTTCATAATGGAATCATAGAATAGTACAGTTGGAAGGGGCCAGAAGGCCATCAGGGCCAATCCCCTGCTCAGTGCAGGACTCCAGATTAAACCATTCCTCTCAGGTGACTGTCCACTTGCATCTGGAATGCCTCTGGTGTGGGAGAGCCCACAGCTTCCCTATGTAGTTGGTTCCATTGTTGGTTCCATTGGCTCCATTCTAACCTCTTACATTCAGAAAATGTTTCCTGATATCTAGTCAACCTGCCTTGTTGTAAACTTTCCAGAGTCTTTTTGATGCTTCAATCTTTTTGATGTGGTATAGAAATTAAATATTGGGTGGTATAGAAATTAAATAACTAAATATACAGTTGCTGCTTTGTTTCTTGGGGTAGCAAGTTAACAAGCTTGTCTGATGCAGTACTAACATTTCATGTGTGTGGAAAGGTCCTTTGTTTATTGGCTATTTCCTTGACAACTAATAGGATTTCTCACAAGTGTTGTATAATGAATCAGGCTGTTTGACAAAGCAACTGATTCACATCTCTTGTCACATGACCAATTGCAATTCTAAGTCAATGGCAGTGATTGTACCATTGCCACAACGTATCTGCCTGTGTGGAACAGCTTTTACTCAGGAGGTGAAGAACTGTATTGAAGACATACTCTTTGAGGGCAAAGGAATTTTTAGGCAATCTGGTGATGATAGTTTTGATCTGGGAGCAAATGGCTTGTTGTAAGAGTGTTATCAGCCAACAGATATTTTATAACTCTGGGTACAGTATGTGTCAGAATATCACTGCAGACCTGTAGGTGTTTACCATTGTCCAAGTTCAATTTGCAGTAAACCCCATCTGGACAAACTCTTGCTGTACCATTTTTCTTTCTCCTACTTTAGAGGAAATAACTGCATTTCTTTGAAAGGGGACAGTGAAGCCAGTGTCCAGTAGAATGAGATTGTATTCAAGGTATCCAAGAGAGTTGTGGATTTCCACCAGAGTCTTAATGGTTTGAATCTTCGGATCTCAGGATTGTGAGCCACACTTGTATTCTCCCCTTGATCTCCTAAGGGGATTGGTTTATGTTTGTTGATGTGAATGTTGTCTGTGTCTATATTAGCACTGCTGACTGCTTCAGGATGATCCTGGCAAATGACTAGACTTTTTTGCCAGGGGACTGAGTGATAAACTTGGTCCATCTGGCTTTCTGTTAGTCTGTCAGTAGCTAGACAGACCAGATTCAGAGAAATTTTGGATCCTAAATGCAGCTACTGCAGCACTTACTCCAGTAACAAGTTTTCATATGAGACTTCTCCAAAAGAAGTTTGCCTGTGTGGAATTCCCAGCCCAAAGTGGTAACCTTGCGATTCTCAGTACTATCCCTCTCAAGTGAGACAGCAATTCCTTTGTGGTTCTTTAAGCTGGATGACTCAGGGATCCCACAACTGTATCCTTAAAGTAACTTAGACTGTGAGCATGCTGTTCCATTACTTGGCTACCACATTGGTGGACATTGTTCCACACATAAGAGATAACACAAACTCTATTGCAGCAGGCTCGGAACAAACCACAAATTTCTAGATCAGCCTTCTATAAGATCTGGTGGCCTTTAGAGGCTTTTGG